GCTGCTGCTGCTGCTGCTGTTGCTGCTGCTGCTGCTGTTGCTGCTGCTGTTGTTGCTGCCGTCGTTGCTGTTGTTGCTGCTGTTGTTTCTGCTGCTGCTGTTGCTGCTTTTGTTATTGCTGTTGCTGCTGCTGCTCCAATTGCTGTTGTTGCTGCTGCTGCTGCTGCTTGTGTCGCTGCTGCTGCCGTTGCTGTTGCTCTATATTGCATTGCTGCTGCAACCATTAGTGGTAGGGTAGACCGTTTTTTGTGTATTTGTTCGTTGATAGGGAGCGGATAAGTCTGCGCGTGAGAACGTAGCATCAAAAGGGTTTATAACGAGAAGCGAAAGCTATTTAAACGCAAATGCTGCATGCAGATGGGGCTTAGAAGCAGGAGAGCAGCAGCACAATACAGAAAAAGAAGTGCATGTCGCAGGGCCTGTCTTTGACAGATCTCGCTTCGTGCAAGAAATACAACTCGATGGTAAATAGATATGCACATTGCTGCTGCTGCTGCTGCTGCTGCTTGTTTTGCTGCTGCTGCTGCTTGTTTTGCTGCTGCTGCTGCTGTTGCTCCTGCTACTTGTTGTTATGCTGCTGCTGCTTGTTTTGCTGCTGCTGCTGCTTGTTTGTTGCTGCTGCTGCTGTTGCTCCTGCTACTTGTTGTGCTGCTGATGGTGCTTGTTTTGCTGCTGCTGCTTGTTTGTTGCTGCTGCTGCTTCTGCTTGTTTTGCTGCTGCTGTTGCTGCTGCTTGTGTTGCTGGCCCTCCTGCTGCTCGTTTTGCTGCTATTGCTGCTTGTTTTGCTGCTGCTGCTGCTGCTGCTCATTATGCCCGTTGCTGCTTCTGCTGCTACTGAGTCCTATATCAACATATATAATGTTTATATATAAATATAAAATAAGTAAATAATATATAATATATTATATATAATACAGCTGTATATTTCCTTCAGCATCAGCGTAAACAACATCATCCGGCTGTAAACGAGCAAACAGCTAACCAAATATAAATAAATAAATATATATATATATATATATATATTTGTTTGTCTATTGCAGGGAGTACGAGTATAAACGATATCTTTGACTTCACGCATGCACAAAACTTAGGCAAGGGTTCTTACGGTCAAGTTGTTAAGGCTCGGGATTTAAAGACAGGAAGCATAAGAGCAATTAAAGTTGTTTATAAACCTCGAATTGAGAACGTTATGAGGCTTAAGAGAGAAATACTTATCATGTATGTGCTGTATATCTTTATTATCATCTTTCTCATCATTTTATCTATATATCTATATATCATATATATTATATATGTATATTTATATATATATATATATATATATTTATATATGTATTTATATGCTTATATATATTATCTTTATTGTATATGTTATCTACAATAGACTTATCAAATTCATTATAATCTTTATTATTTGCTTTATTTTAATCTTTATATATATATATATATGTATATATATATATATGTATGTATGCATGCATGTATTATTATTATTATTATTATTAGTCTTATTATTTTCTTTAGTATTAATTTATTTATAAATTTGTTTATTTATTTTTATTGTTTGCAGTGATGGGTATTTGTTTTGTCTGTCTCTGCTTTATGTTTGTTGTTGTTTTGTTTATCTTTCTATCTGCACATCAATCTATTACTTTATTTTCTTCATAAATAAATACATAATTTAATTAATGCAAATATGTATATCTATATGCATTTATATTTACATATATTTATATATCTTTATATACCTTTATATATTTATATGTATATAAATGTATGTAAATGTACAATCATATACATATATATATATATGTATATATATACATATATATATACATATATATATACATATATATATACATATATATATATGTATATATAAGAATATATATTTATTAATTGTTAGATATATTTTGCTTGTGATACAGGAAGAGGCTGGACCATCCGAACATAATAAAACTGTTTGAAGTGTACGAGGACGAGAAGAATCTGTATTTAGTAATGGAGTTGTGTACAGGGGGAGAGCTATTTGAGAGGATAATAAAGTCGGGACACTTCTCAGAAAGATATGCAGCTTGTTTAATGCGTCAAGTCTTCTCAGCTGCTGCTTATTGTCATTCTAATAATGTTATGCATAGAGATATTAAACCTGAGAACCTGCTCTACGCAGACAGCTCGCCTTTATCTGCTTTGAAAGTTATAGGTGAATATATCTTAATATTATTATCTTTAATTTTATTATCTTTATTATTATTATTATTATTTATTATTTATTATTATTATTTATTATTTTTATTTATTATTTTTATTTATTTTTATCTTTTCGTGTTCTTTGCCTGTTTTTATTTGTATGAAGTCGTTCAAACAATACTACTATATATATTAATATTTTTATCATTGCTGTGTTTATATTTTTTAGTTATTGTTATTGTTATAATAATAATAATAATTATTATTATTATTATTATTAATATTGTTTTCATAATATATTATTAATTTTTTTAATACACAAAAATTATTTTTTTATTTTGTTTGTATTTTTTACTCAACAGCAATTTATTTTAATTGTAGTTTTAAAGACATCAATAAAATATAAATATACATCTACATAAATAAATATATATATATAAATATATAAATATATGTATATATATATGTGTGTGTGTCTACGAGGGTCTGCATGTCTGTATATATCTTCTTTGTTCGTGGTGTTTGTTTCGTTTGTTTTATTTGTTTTGTTTACATGTAAATTATATAGATAATAATATATACACATTGTATATACATAAAAAAAAATATATATATATATATAAGTATAAATAAGGTGCCTATCGACGCATACATAAGCCTAACAGCATAGACGAAAGCACAAACAAGATAATAAAGAAAATTATATATATATATATATATATATTGATGTTGATTGCATGCAGATTGGGGCTTCGCTGCTCGGTGCGGTCGTAGTCATAAGTTCAGCAGTGTTGTCGGCACGCCTTATTATGTTGCACCCGAAGTTTTATTCGGCAAGTACGGCTACGAATGCGACATATGGAGCGCAGGGGTTATTCTTTTTATTCTTCTCTGCGGATATCCCCCCTTCCGTAAGTGTAACCTCTTTCTTTTGAACCCTTTGGTAGGGTTTAGGGTTTAGGGTTTAGGGTTTAGGGTTTAGGGTTTAGGGTTTTGGGGTTTAGGGTTTCAAAATGTAATTAACGATGTAATAATATATATATGTATGAAAACAAATATAAATAAATATATAAGTATATATATTATATAAATATATATATATATATATATATTGTATAATGCATATATATATATATATATATTAGTGTTGTGCTGTATGGTGTAAAATGATTATAAAGAAGACAGCAGAATGCAAGAGCAAACAAACAACCAAATAAATAAATAAAACTAAATAAAACTGAAGAAATAAATAAATAAATATAAATAAATAAATAAATAAATAAATAAAATATATATATATATATGTGTATGTATACAGACGGTAAGGACAACCAAGCAATATTGAAGAGAGTGCAAGCAGGAGAATATAGCTTTGATCCTCGGCACTGGCGTCGGGTGTCTGAGTCGGCGAAGGATTTAGTTCGTAGATGTTTAACGTATGTCCCTTCTAAGAGGATAACAGCCAAGGAAGCCCTTCAACACCCGTGGATATTATCATTTGCATGCATGAATGGAGGCGTTGAGCATGCATTATCAATTCGTTTAGGATCGGATTTAATAGAGAGGTTTAAAAGCTTTCAACGTCTTCATAAGTTAAAAAGATTAGCTATTACTTGTGTAGCATATCAATTAACAGACAGCGAGATAGGCTTACTACATGATGCTTTTGCTGCATTAGATAAAAATGCAGACGGAGTGTTAACAGTTAATGAGATACTTCAAGGATTAAAACAATGCGGTGTTGAAGGAGATGATGTCTTAGATGTTTTAAAAGAATTAGATACCGATGGTAACGGTACAATAGACTATACAGAGTTTATTGCTGCTTCTATGGATCATAAGATATATGAGCAAGAGTCTGCATGTCAAAATGCATTTCGAGTCTTCGACTTAGATGGAGACGGCAAGATCTCTGTGTAAGCTTCACAACCCTAATATTCTTTTATAAACCCCTTAACCACTCTCTACACCTTCAAGTTATATAGACTTTATTACTGGGTTTAGGGTTTAGGGTTTAGGGTTTAGGGTTTATACTGTATTACGCTCTTGCGCTTATTTGGCTTTGTTAGGGTTTTGGGTTTATTAGGGTTTAGGGTTTAGGGTTTAGGGTTTAGGGTTTAAGGGTTTGCTATGGATTATTATGTATTATTTCTATTGTTGTTATTATTATTATTTTTACGTATTATTATTTATATTTTTATTATTTTTATTTATTTTAGTTTTATTCTTAACGAGCATAACATCCTCTTATTTGTTTTATTGTTCGTTTGTTATTTATTATTTATTATTTATTATTTATTATTTATTATTTATTTATTATTTATTTATTATTTGTTTATTATTTGTTTGTTTATTATTAGAGATGAATTGCAAAAGGTATTGGAGACAAGTTATATTAAAGAGGCGTTCAGCAAGGAGACAGTCATGGAGATGATGAGGGAGGTAAATATAAACATAAATATAAATATATAAATATATAAATATAAATATAAATATAAATATAAATATTAATGTAAATATAATATATATATATATATGTATACCTATGAATTAAAAGAAACAGCCATGCAGAAGATGAGTACATAGATGCAGTATATATGCATAAATATAAATAAATAAATAAATATATGCATGCATATATATATATATATGAATATATATATGCATATATATATATACATGCATATATATATATATGTGTTTATTTGTGTAGGAAGCATTGAACAACGATGACACGACAGTGTATATATGTGTATAAATATAAATATAAATAAATATAAATAACTAAATAACTAAATAATAAATATATAAATATATAAATATTATTTGTGTTTAATTGTGTAGGGGGACTTAAACAACGACGGGATGATAGACTTTGACGAATTTATGCGGATGATGAGGGGTAGACACCGCAAAGTTAATGAAGGCTCTTCACCATTAGCAAGAGCTAGAGCTCTTCTTTATAGACGATATGATAATTAAATATATTCATCGTCTCTTCTTAATTATATATAATATATATATATAATATATATGTGTGAATGTATGGTAGCGTTATTGTGTTATGTTATGATGTAGTTTATAGTATATTATATAATATATATATTATATACAATAAATAGTATATAATATATATATTTATTATATATATTATATATATTTTTGTATGAATGTATTATTAATGTTGTATATATGTATGGATGCGTCTCTGAGGATGTGTCGGTCAGCGTTATGTTTGGTGTTTATAATATATATTATATAATATATATAATATAAATGCATTATATATATCTATATATATCTATATATATTATATATAATGCTTCTTATATATGTTGTATAATATATATTATATCTCTATCTTTGCTGACAGGTATTGCTATGCCTGTCTGTCTATGCATGCATCTCTGTCTACTTATATATATGCGTCTGAATGTATATTATATATATATATATTGTATATATATGTATATATATTATGTATATATATACATATATATATATATATGTTGTATGAATGAGCATATATGTTTATGTTTATATATATACATATCTATATTTGTTGATATATATATATATATATATATGTATATATATGTATTTATATATTATGATTATTATTATTATTAGTAAACGTACTCCTGGATGCATGCGGGCGGAAGAATGAAGTTAAGTTGTTGGTTGCGTTTGTTGGCTAGCAAAGAAAGAAGAAATACTTCAAAAGATAATAATTAAGTGCTAAAGAGACCGACGCAAGTGTGTATGTATGTGCTTTTAAATATATATATATATATATATTGTGCAGTGTATCTTATTATTAAATACACATCGCATTATCTGTAAGGTTATTATTGAGGCTTTGGTCGGGGTTCACCGCTCATGTTGCAACAGCAGCAGCAGCAGCAAATGAAGCAGCAGCAGCAGCAGCAGCAGCAGCAGCAGCAGCAGGAAGGTGGACATTACTTGGAGGAAATTCATCTCCCTCTCTCTTTAATTGACTCTGAAGCCGTTTCTCTTTGTTGTCTTGCTGCTGAATGGATGCATGCATGCATGCATGCATGCAGCAGCATACAGCAGCTTGCATGCGTGCATGCAGCATCATGTAGCAGACACCCACAGCAGCGACTTCCGCAGAACTCGCCGGAACAGCAGCAGTAACAGCAGCAACAGCAGCAACAGCAGCAGCAGCAGCAGCAGCAGCAATAGCAACGTTTGCTGCTGCTGCTGCTGCGGGCTTAATAAAGGGCTCGCCCTTCTTTTTATTAATTCCCCAGGTTTTGTCTGGATGCAAAACCTTTTGGGAGAGACGTTCATTTGCATGCATGCATGCGTGCATGCATGCATGCGCGCATGCATGCATCTATGCTTGTTTCTTTGGGAAGATGCATTCATGCATATATTTTATGCTTGGGGTGCATGCATGCATGCATGCATGCATGCATGCATCTTTGCAAGCATGTACGCCTGCATGCGTGCTTGTATCTTTGGGAGGTTTGGCGCATGCATGTGTGCATGCATGCATGCATGCTTGTTTGTTCGTGTGCATGCATGCATGCATGCATGCATGCATGTTCTTTTACATGCATGCATGCCCGTGTGCTCTTGTGCACGCATGCATGCATGCATGCATGCACGTATGTACATATGCTCGTATGCATGCATGCTTGCATGCAAACATGCATGCATATATGTACGTATGTTCATATGCATGCATGTATGTACGTATGCATGCATGCATGCATGCATGCATGCATGTTGAGAAGCATTGAAATGATAGTGTAGCAAAGTGGAAGTTAATTTGGCTTAAGACGGCATCGCTTGGCTCTGTTGAATTTCATGACGTTTCCCCTTTTAAACAAAGTACGAAAAGTAGAGGGAGAGAGAGGGCAATTAAAACCTTTTTTAGGTGTACGCTCACTGTAAAGAGAATCATAATGACAAAGATATTAACAAAGATATTATAATATAAATATATTAATATAAATACACACAAACAAATCCATACGCACCACCTGCATCTACACAACTCTTAGCGAACGGCCCTCCTGTAGACACCCTAGAGACGTTTACATCATATATATATATATA